TTCAAGTCATTCAGAAAGAATATAACAATATTTATTGAGGAAAATCTTGGGAGTTAGTAGAGCTACTGGTGTTGATACTATATTATATATAATGTAAGTCTAGTCTACCACATTGTAATTTTTTTCATTTGTGTACTTCATTTAATATATCTATGTTCATTACTTTTTTAAAAATTTTATTTATTTATTTGACAGAGATAGAGAGAGGGAGAGCATAAGCAGGGGGAGTGGCAGGCAGAGGGAGAGGGAGAAGCAGGTTCCCCGCTGAGGAAGCAGCCTGACGTGGGGCTCGATCCCAGAACCCTGGGATCATGACCCAAGCCAAAGGCAGCCGCTTAACTGACTGAGCCACTCAGGCGCCCCTATGTTCATTATTTTTTAATTTCAACTTTACTCAATGTGTATTTATTACTCTTGGCACAATAGTTTATAATATACACTCTTATTATAGGGTAACATTATATCCCAGTTTTAACATAATTTTTAACAGCACCCTTTCACTCTCAAAAGCATCCTACTTTGGATGATAAATTTTATGGTAAAGTACTGTATTTTAAAGTTTTTAAAAACTGTATTTCATTTTTTTATTTTTTTTAAGATTTTATTTATTTGTCAGAGAGAGAGCACAAGCAGGGAGAGTGGCAGGCAGAGGGAGAAGCAGGCTCCCCACTGAGCAAGGAGCCCAATGCAGGACTCGATCCCAGGACCCTGGGATCATGACCTGAGTTGAGGGCAGATGCTTAACCAACCGAGCCACCCAGGCGTCCCAAAAACTGTATTTCATTTATTTAAAAAATTGTACTAAAAATCTTCCCAAATTCACAAATCTTCCCAACACCCAACTTCTCTATATTTTCCTCAATTAATAACTTTTTATTTTATTCTGAAATGAGAAATCTTCTTGACTATGGAGTATTTTTAATAAGATGAAAAAAGTTGTTCTGGGCTTAAAAACAACCACCACAGGGCGCCTGGATGGCTCAGTCGTTAAGCATCTGCCTTCGGCTCAGGTCATGATCCCAGGGTCCTGGGATCGAGCCCCGCATCAGGGCTCCGTGCTCAGCGGGAAGCCTGCTTCCCCCTCTCCCATTCCCCCTGCTTGTGTTCCCTCTCTCGCTGTCTGTCTCTCTGTGTCAAATAAATAAATAAAATCTTTAAAAAAAAACAACCACCACAGAGAGGCTGGAGCCTGTGCTCTCTGCGTGGATGGGGTGGCTCACTGCCAACGGGATGTCATTTTCATTAAGTTACTGAGAGCCGGAGAGAACCTTTCTAAGTCAGGCACAGCAGGCTGGCAAATGTAATGTGGATGTCCTCATGCCTGAGAAAGCATTCCCACCACTTGACCAGATTCCTTTCATCTTTGGGTGCCTCAGTTTCTCTGTCTCTACAGAGCACAATAATGCCCACTTCACAGGGCTGTTGTGGGATTAAAGGGATGATAGCCATAGGGCACTCTCAGCCACCAGGAACAAAGACATTAAGTAATTGCAAAATGTTTGGTTCTGCTTCTCCAGCTTGTGGAAAAAGGGCTCCCACTGACTTGAAAGAGAGCATCATATACAGACGAGGAGAAACCCACTGGGCGAGCAGAGCCTATTACCTTCATTATCATTGTCCTAAAGTGCAGAGGACAGAAAGAGCAACAAAGAAGCTTAGGAACTGTGGCCACACAAAAACAAGATAAGGACTAACAAATGGGCCACGAAAGAAAATCTGAAAAAATGAACATCTTAGCTTAAAAATAATCTGTGAAGATTATATACCAGAAATGAAGGAACCACCTATCTATTCTTTGGTTACTTGATAGAATGACGCACTCACGTGTTTTTCACAGAGAGGAGTGTGCCCTGTCCTCACACTCCACTTCCTTACATTATCTACTCTAAATGCCTAATGGCAGTTCAATGACCACTTTTTTTTTTAAAGATTTTATTTATTTATTTGAGAGAGAGAGAATGAAAGAGAGAGCACGAGAGGGAAGAAGGTCAGAGGGAGAAGCAGACTCCCCACTGAGCAGGGAGCCCAATGTGGGACTCGATCCCGGGACTCCAGGATCATGACCTGAGCTGAAGGCAGTCGCTTAACCAACTGAGCCACCCAGGCGCCCCTCAATGACCACTTTAGAAGTGGATTAAATTTAAAAGTTCCTATGTAGACAGCATTCTGCAAAGTACATTCAAATGACCAATAGATAATAAAATTGAAACTGGTAATACTCTTTGGTCATAAGACATTAAGACCTAGAAGGCTGAAGAATGACTTGGGACGAGTAGAACATGCCATTGGTGCTTTGGTGAACTCAGAGTCAAGCAGGTGTAAGACATTCTCCTGTACATTAATTTATGTTACTAACATCAAATGGGTAAAAACGATAAATAGTAGGAGATGTCATTGCAATAGTATTTTCCCAGCAAAAGCTGTATCTCAAGAGTCCTTCAGAGCACTCTGGAAATACACAGAAATTCACAAATCAGTTTGCTAAATTGACTTGGCTGGAAAGCATGCTTTTGTGCATGGATCCAGCTGAAAGGCATTTCTGCATCTACCAGACTCGCCCCATGGCTCCTTCAACCAGGGCTAAGAGTCAGGGCACATCATAAAAAGACTGTGGGCTTCAGGGTCAGTTAGACCTGGACTCAAATTCTCCCTCCACCATATAACTGGCTGAGTGGCTTCAGGTAAGTCACAGGAGCTCTCTGAGAAGAGGATTACATGCTCCTACCAGCCTCTCGAGGGGCCAGGCGGATTAGATGTCCAACATACGTCAAAGAGCCAAGCGCTATATGCTTGGTTTAACGTTCTCAGTACAGCTATAAACAACCTGGAATGAGAGAAGGCCACCCCCAAAACCATCTGCTGCCTCTCTCCACTGCAGGCCAGGAGGACAATATAAAATGAGACCAGTTTTTAAAACATTAATATAAAATGCTTGCACATACTTAACCCAAATAGGGGCCTTAATTTAACCGTGTGTAAGAGCCAAACTGCAGTTCTCATAATGTAAAAATTCTTAGATGTCCAAAGATACTCTAGTTTTACAATCAGTGTAACTCTGCACGTGTAGAAATTGTACACAATCCTCCTCTTTTAAAAGCCACACACCTTGGCCATTCACAGTGGGTTTCCGGGGGACTGCCTGATGCCAGATGAGTATTAGGTCTTGAATATATGAGATGCCGAAGCAAAGGGAACAGGTCTCAGAGCACTCTGTCAGCCCTCTGGTTCTACAGGTGACAAACCAAAGCTTGGAGAGAGGAACGTGCTAGTGCAAAGCCAAACGATGAAGGCCATGGGTTAGGATTTTTAGGAAAGCCACTATAAACCAAAACTGTGACAAATAATAACAATAATATCATCACAGAGCTTTATTCACTGATACTTCCCATTCTCTGGCATCATTGCCTGCCTGGTGCTCAGTCTGTCCTTTGGGAAGGAAGCTTTCCTACAATAACACAACAGAGGGAAACCTGCTAAGATGGGGCAGTCTCATTTTATATTTCCCAACATGACAGGGAACTGAGTTTCTAACATGTCTGAGGATGAAAAATCTGAAAGACCAAAAAAAAAAAAATCGTCAAAGTAACCCTTTGAGGACCGATGTGACTTCCACTGTCCCCTGTGAACAGTCCTAAACCCACAACGCCAGGAAAACGGCATCATTGAACGTTAAGTCCTCAGAGGAGAGTTAACAAATCAAATATTTTGCACACATTTTTAGAGTGTCCATTATGCTTTTTGCTACAAAAATTAAATTCTCCATTTACATTTCTGAGCATAATAATTTCTAACCACTGATCACTGTATTTTAAAAGGTGATAGCCCATACAGAGCAAGATTTACAAACACCCAGGCAGAATTAGCTCCCTGTTTCATAACTCTGCAACTGTTAATCATCATTGGTTACTAATTCTGGTTCCATCTCTGTGAATAAATTAATGCTTTATCCTAAATATGCTAATTTAGAGATGGGTCATCCTGAGGCTAATTTCCATCTCAAAGACACCTCCATGCTTAAAGCAGTTTTACACCAAAAGCCCTTGTAGGAGACCATCAAGATCAGGGTAGAAAGGAAGCTAGAGGATGGCATAAGGTCAGGGAGATTTCAGGGTTTTAGAATGGGACAGATAATAAAACCCTTCTAAAGGCTGAGGGGAAGGATCCAGAAGATACGAGAAAATGAAAATCCAGAGGACAGAGGCAATAATCCCTGAGAAATTGATAAAGGATGGGCTCTGGGGCCCCCAGGGCATTGCTAGAGGGAAGGGGGGAGAGGGGAGCTAAAAGGAAGAGGAAGTCAGGAAGAAGAGGGAAAGAGGAGGGGAAGGGAGAGAGAAGGGGAAGAAGGCAGGCAAAGAAAGTGCCAGGTGTAGAGACATTTTGAAAGAAGTTTAGGTGACATTAAATATGGAAGTCAGGAGCCATGAATTAAAAAGGACCTTGTCACCAAAAGGTTTGGAATCTAACAGAGAAGTTCTGCTCAACCACATAATTGTATAATGTAAATATATACTCAGAGATTAAATTTTATTCTGTTTAAGACATTTTAACTGATTTTTTCTAAGGAATATGCTGAATTCATAATGGAAGAGAAAGAGATTATTCAATTAGATTGATTTTTGTGGAATAACAACTCAAAACTTCTTGAACCCCAGCCTTGGACAAAATTACATATCAGTGTTGGGGGGATCCCTTCTAGGGAAGAAAAATTTAAACTGTAAATTATCAGGTTAATTCACAGTGTGGACGAAAGAAATAGCAAATACACAGTTTGATATTTGGTTTGCAAAGTGAGAAAAGAAAGCATATTAAATTCTATAGAATAAGCTTTTCTGATCCCAGAAATACTAAGAACTCGATAGGTTTTTTTTGGCTCCAATGACTTGTAAATATCTAGAAGAGCCCAGATTTTGAAGCCCTGAGGACACTTGCTAAAACTCAGAAATTTGGCACTAGTCTTTGAACACAATTTGGGTTTTCTTTCAGAGTTGATATCTTACCAAATACAGCCATCTGTGTTCCCTCTGGGAAAGGTTCAACTGTTCTATTGCCATTGACATGATGTTTGGCTAGAAAAAAAAAAAAGGGAGAGAAGGAAAGAAAGAAATACAAGTTAAGTGTAAAGTTCCACACACATACTAACACATGTCATTAAATGTGTCAAAGAGTCTATTTCTCATTTTTAGTTAAAAATGGCACCAAAGCTTACCCTTTTAAGAGAGTTTCATTTATTTTGTTTTTAATCTCAGTTACTTAAGAGCCTCGAGATGGTCTAGTTCAAGCGCATGGTTTTACTAATGAGGGTGCCAAGGCTTGAGCTTGTGCAGAGCCGTATGGCTGGTGGTGGCAGAGCCAGCCCAGCCCCAAAGCTCCTGACTCCTGGCCAGAGGGGCCCCACAGCACCAGGCCAGCCCCTGAAGAAGAAGGGAAACTTGGGGTTCCAGGGTAAACTGGGGAGGCTTCCTCTGAAGACTCCTGATGATCAGAATATTGACCCAATCAATGAAGTGAGCCACGAGGACAGCAGGGTAACACTGGGGCCAATTTTTCAAAAAACAGAATAGCAGAACACATCATTTCACTACAATTCAAGTACTGTTTCCAGGAACCACGGACACTTGCCTTCTTAAAGACCAGATGGATATTCCAGGGTTTCTTCCTACTCTTCATCCACCCTGGTTCCTTCCGCCAACACCCTTCCCACCCTGGACATATTAAGGACTTGGAAATAAAAGGTGACCAGATTATGGTTTTCCAGCATTAACTTGTTCTCATAACCCCTCAAACTGTAGTCAGATAGAGCACAGCTGAGTATGATCCATCTAGGAGTACTTGAGTAATATCCTTAGCAATTCTTGAATATGGGCATTTATGTTGAAAATACATAAGCATGGCTAAAAAGCCTTGACACTGCATCATACAGCACATGTATTTTGATTTCCTGGGTCCCGTTCGATTTATGGAGCACTGGCAAAGGGCTCAGCACGACAGGCAGGCTGTCTGGGGGCTGGTGAGAGGATGACACAGTTCCTGCTCTCGTGGAAAGTACAATTACCTTCAAGAGGTAAAAATGTCAAACTTTACCAGAAAGCTTACAATTATGTGCCAAGTCCTGGAATGGGGACGAAAGGTACTGTCAAGAGTTCGCAACAGAGGAATAGCAAGCTGGGAAGTGAGAGCCTGGAGGAAGTGCTACTAGCACAGAATCTTGAAGGAGAGGCAGGGTTAGGAAAGGCAGAGAGTGAGGTAGCAACTTGAATGAGAGCCACGAGTCTGGATGTGACCGAGGCATCATCCGGGGCCAGAATCGAGTCTAGTCTGGGCATAGCAGAGGTGATACGTTGAGAAGCAGTGGCCATGAAGGACAGATTGGTAGGCAAGGACCAGGTCGTGGAAAGTCTTAAGAACCCCATCCAAACCCATAGTAATCCCAGGCAGCCTCTCCAGCACACTGCAAGTCTTTCAGAACCTGAAGGCTTATGAGGCTCAGTCAAGTTTAGACACCCTCTTCAGGATACCATCAATTCAGAGGCTCTCACTGGTTCTTCAGTGATGCTGGCACTAGCCTAGGAACAGAAAACCTGGAGGAAGGGAAGAGAACAGCCCAGGTCCCAGGTAGCCATGGGACCTTGTCAAGTACTCATTAATATGGTTAGAACCATTGGTTGCTGAATCCAAAGAAACATGATGAGGCTTGACGTAGAGGTCACAGTTCTGTTCTACAGTCAGCACCCCACAGCCCCTGCCTGTGGTTCTAAAAAGGTTTGTCTTTACACATATCAAGAGTTGTAAATCCATTCAACCTTTGACCCACTAATCCCACTTGTAAGAATTCAAACTAAGGAATAATATAAGGGGAAAAAAAAGGTGATACATATAACAATATTCATTACTTATAATAATGAAATTTTAAAACCAATTGAATATCCAAAAGTATCAGTGTTGCTTAGAAAACTGTAATTCATGATTTATCAAAAGCATGTACTATAATGCAACATTTTAAATAGAGCATTTGAAAGACATATAAAAATGTAAAAAAATATTTGGGATAATGGTAAGTGAAACAATCCTATTACAACACTGGATGTAGATTATAATGACAACTAATTAAAATATGAATGCTTATAGGAAAAGAGAAATGTTTCTCTGGGAGAGAAACATACAAAAATGAAAACAACTAGGGAGATTATGCAAGATATTTACCTTTATTAATTTCCTTTGGCATTGTTAGATTCTTATTTTCTAAATGAAAATATGTTTCTTCCGATTTTTAAGAATCAACAAAATTATGGATTAAGAATTTTTTCCCAAGTACTTGATTTCCCAGGACAATCCATCAAGGCTTATTTATAGCCCAGCCAAAACACTACACATTTACCATGAAAAGTGTAGCCTATTTGACACCTCCTCTCAGACAGCTCAAAAGATGACCTTCCACTCCAAACATGGCCCTCTACCAGCATCCCCACCTCTGGGAACAGGACTGTTGTCCTATCCTTTCTAGGCATCCTTGCCCGTTCTTGAGCCCTCACAACCCACACCTAATCTATCACCAAATCGAGCTAGTTTTACCTTCCAGACATCCAAATCCCTCCACTTCTTCCCTTCACCATCAAATCATTGTGGCCCCTACTGTGGCTTCTTTGCCTGGACTCCTATAAATGCCTCTAGGTCATCTATGTCCCCTCTCCAATTCGTTCTTCCCCGTGCAGTCACAATTACCTTTCAAAAAGAAAGACAAACTTGGGCGCCTGGGTGGCTCCGTCGGTTGGGCGACTGCCTTCGGCTCAGGTCATGATCCTGGAATCCCGGGATCGAGTCCCGCATCGGGCTCCCTGCTCGTCAGGGAGTCTGCTTCTCCCTCTGACCCTCCCCCCTCTCATGCTCTCTCTATCTCATTCTCTCTCTCAAATAAATAAATAAAATCTTAAAAAAAAAAAAGAAAGACAAACTCATTGTATGACACAAACTCCCCAATTTCCTCCCCCACCTTCTACGGCTTCCCACTGCTCTTAGGCTAAAGTCAAAACTCTAATGTGGCTTTCAAGGACCCATGTGGTCTGACCACCTCAGTCCCTCATTCCCTCTACTACTGTTGCTTTCTTGGAACCAATGACCTTCTACAGTGCTCACCAGAGCTTCACCTTACACTTAGTTATTACCTGGACAAGCAGACTATAAGCACAGGGAGGGCAGGGCTCATAGCTCTTTTGGGTCACCATTTTGATAATTCTAGCCCAAAGAGGGATAATGCATAGGTGTTCAATAAATAGCTGTTAAATTAATGACGGAAGACATAAACAGTAGTAAAAAGTCTCTCTTCAGCCACTATGAAAGATATATTATTTGATACACTAAAGACATCTCTCTCTTTATACGTACATATGTCCCTGACGCAAAAATGATCACTGAAAATGGCCACTCAAAAGTAGTTTCCCCAGCCAGGTGGCCCAGAGACCAAGGAACTCCTCTCTGTTCCTCTCCGTAAAAGCCTGCCCCTCTTCCCATCCAATTCACCTCTCATCTGAGAAGGTGGCAATGCCAGAGGGGCAGGAAAGACTAGAAATGCTACCTGAACTGGAGAGGAAGGAGGAAGTTCATATGCACTCTCTCCTCAATGTTAAGGTTCCCCTGGACCCTGTCTTATCTTTTATTCTAGAGCCCGAGGCCCAAGGATAACAGGGTCTATAAACCTGATTTTGCATTTTCTTCTGAACTGCAGCTGAGTCAGCTCCTGGACAGCAAAGACAGAGCATTAGCCAAGAAGAGATAGCACAGTGTCGGCTGCTAAGGACATGGGCTGTAGAGCAAGACTGCCTTGACTTTGAACCTCAGCTCTCCCACCTCCTAGCTGTAGGAACGTGGCTTAGTCATTTAACTTCTTTGTGCCTCAGTTTCTTCATTTGTACAAGTTTCCTCATTTGTACCTACCTTGTGGGCTGCTTTAAGAATTAAATTAGTTAATATATGTAAAGCACTTAGAACAGTACCTGGGACATAGCAAACACCTCTTAACTGCTAGACTAGAGTTATCCTCTATGTGTGAACTTTATTTTTCACAACAAGATCTGAGTCAGGAATGACAAGTACATGACACATGATATACCTCTCCTCCACTTCCATGCTCATGGCAGATACCACTAATCAACCACAGCATACTTTCTCGGTTCCCTAATGAGACCACAAAATCTTTTCTCAACCTAGCATCCTACAGAGTCTCTTATTATTTAGATATACATGCATATGTGGCAAAACTGTTTTGTCATTCCTGGTCTAAGTGAATAAAACAGAAAGATGGACAAGAAAAGAAGCCATTTTCCTTCTCGTTTCTATATGGTAAATTGCAATTAAAAAAAAAAAAGATCCTTTGAAAACCCCCAAAACTCTACATATAGCTTTAGGGATAAAACAGGGGGAAATCTAAGTGCTCCTTTCCATTTCATGATGCAAGAATGGTGAGTTCTTAAAAACCAAGCAATGGCAGTTCTACTCCTAGAAACCAAGGCTTAGCTTCCAAGGGCACTTTCCTATTGAAACTCTGCTGAGGCAAGTATTTGGGAACCAAAGAACCAGAGATCCTTTAAACACATTAGGTAGGTCATTAAGATTTGGCCGGGGGGAGAGGGGTGGGCTCATTTGGGAACCTAATGAGCATTTATAAATTTTTTTTTCAAAATTGGTGGCACATGTCACCCCAGAAACAATCAAACTGACTAAACAGAAAAGTCGTTCATTGATTGGATACAAACTATTGATTACCAGCAGAGCATGAAATGGAGACGGGAGAGGGTCACTGACGGGGACAGCTGTTGCTCAGCCACAGCAGGGTGGATGCCTCCAATCTGGCTGGACGGGGAGCTATCCCCCTGCCCCCACTCCTCAGGGGCACATTCCAAAGCCACATGCTCCAGGAGGACAACCCCTGCTGATGGCCATGATGTGTCCTCAGTCAAGGGTATATGAGGACAAGGAATAGATTTTCATTTATCTTGAAAGCCCAGTGCTTGTGGAGCAGCGAGGTTAATTAGTGCAAGATTGGGTCAAAGTCAACTATCAGAGAGATGTTGAA